TAACATGTGTCTTTTCCTTTTGAAAGAGTTTGTTTGTGGCTTCCAGATGACTGTCCCTTCTGTTTTTCAAAATTTTTGAAATTACTGTTTCTTTGAAAATTGTTTCTACCACGTCCTCGGCCTCGTCCGCGATAATTTCCACGGCCTTTTCCACGGCCATTGTAATTTCCACGTCCACCTCTTCTTGTAGCATTTGACTCGGGTGGATAGGAATTTGTTGCATTTGCCTCATGATGAGTGGCCAAAGACCCAGTTGGTCTCAGGTTATGATTTTTCAACAAAAGTTCACTATTTTGTTCCGCAACAAGCAATACACTCATTAATTCATTGAACCTTTTAAAACCTCTTTCACGATACTGTTCTTGCAACAGTATGTTACTTGCATGAAAGGTAGTGAGTGTTTTTTCAATCATCTGTTCATCCGAAACTGGATGATCACAATATCTCAATATAGACACTATCTCATGTATGGTTGAATTATAATCAATTACAGATTTGAAATCCTGGAACCGTAAATTTGTCCAGTCAAATAATGCCTTAGGAAGGAGCACCCTTTTGTGGTGTCCAAATCTTTCATTAAGGCAATCCCATAATTCTTTGGGATCTTCAACCATCATGTACTCAGTTTTAAGGCCTTCATGTAAATGATGCCTTAACAACACTAAGGCTTTTGCCTTATCTTGTTCAGTAACAGGTTTTGCAACAGTCATTGCAGAAGTGGTAGTATCAGTTGTTTGACCAGAGGGACTTTTATTTTCTTTAACAGTGTGCTCCAAGCCTTGAGCTTTCAAATTCATCATTGCGTCCACTTTCCATTCCAGAAATTTCTTTCCAGATAAATCTAAGATGCTGAACTGTCTTTTCATAAGGTCTCCCATTTTAGCTACAACAAATTTCGTGATAATTAGTTTATAATAACAAATTATATGTACAACTCACATGTTTAGTTCTTCCATATTTATAATTAAGTTAATAAGACACGTGATAATTAAATTTAATAATAATAAACCATAAATAATATAGTCTTTTCTCCCCCTTGGTTTATTATTGTGAGTAATTATATGATTAGACAAAAATTAATCATGTTAGTTGCAAAAAAAACAGCAAAACGACAACAATGACAGTAGTAACAATAATTATAATGATAACGGTAATATTATACAATGATGATTAATAACAACAAACATACATAATAAAACAAAAACAAGCTTTTAATATACTAAAACGACAAAATAAGTGAGTTTTACTTATACATAATGACAAAAATTAATATTGCTACTAATAAAATTACAAGCGCCGTAATTAGAAGGAAATATTGTTTTATCTTCATTAAATCTTCCTCAAAAGTGAAGTTGTGGGTGTTTTGGGTGTTTTGGTTGCCGTCGTCGGGGAACATATCGGAGAAGAAGGGGGTGAATTTTTTTTTTTTTTTAGGTGATTTTTGGATAAAAAGTGGGAAAGGATAAGGGATTTGTGGTGAAATTGGGGGAAAAATCCGTCTTTTATAGAGGTAGGTTTATCCGTTACTGTTCTGTACAACTGTAAAAATATCATATAATAGTCTAACGTACTGGCATAAAATTATGGTCCATATATATATATTTATAATTGTAAAAGGTTATCACACTGGGAATGCAAGCCATAGTGGTCCGAGAGCCCTAATATCTATAAAAGATCATGGGTTCGAAAACGGAAAGAAACACAAAAAGTATGTAAAAGTAAGAAAAATAATAAGTATAAAAGGCTGCATCTTTTTGTTAATCTAGTTAATAATAATATGCATGCAAAGCTACTACTTAGCAATTATAATAACTAAGATAAAAATTTACGTAAAATGAGTATGTAATATCAACATGGATCAAACAAAGAAACATCAACATGAATAAACAAAAGATGATAGTAGTAAATTCACAAGTAAGAGAACTTTCACCGTTGTTTTTGAGGTATATATAGTAAATGTTTGAGTTTCTGTTATAGAGGATCCCAAATATGGGCAACTATAGAGCATACTCCTCGAAACATTTAGAAGTAGATAGTATTATTTGTTATAAATTTTTAGAAGTAGATATAAATATACCTGACTGAAAACTGGTGCTGATAACGTGTTAAAGAATTTACCGATAGAAAAGTTTTGATTAATAAAAGGAGTAAAAGAGTGAAAGAAGATGGGTGAAATTGTTGTAGTGTTATCATTGTATTCTTACTTCTATGTCATTGTATTTATAGCCATGAGTTACACTAATAATACAATAATTACTCACATAGAGCCATATGAGTTCACAAGTGTTTGGACCTATATGAGCATTGTGTAATCAAATCAATAATTGGCATTCACTTATTAGACTTATCTTCTAACACTACATATATTGAAGGCCAACAACACTTTTCCACCTTTTTACCCTTTAAAGCAAACCACTATACTATACTTTATTATCTAATAATTCACTATGACGATTGACTATATTGCTCACACTAAGATTGGGTGTTATGTTCAAGGGGGGATCAATTGCGTTGGATAGAACATGTTAGAAGACGCACCTATAAGGGAAGGAGAGGTCTATCAAGGGGGTTTTAGAAGAAGTAAGTGAAGGCCAAAGATTACTTGGGCGTTACATAAGGAATAACATAAGAAGAAGGGAATGGAAGGATAAGATTATGGTGGCAATTATTAGAGATAAATCTTGGTTCATGTAGTTGACCCATCTTTGTTGTTTTTGCCTCATAGTCTTGTTGAAAATAATAAACCCACTTCCTTTCTATTATGGAGTGTTATGGGGCGTTTAGTCTGGGGTATTCAAGAAGGAAGAGGTAATCAAGTGATCAACTTTCTTGAATCCCTTTGATGATGTTTGTTAGACAAAATTAATTGTTTCTTTTACCTTCACCATTACCCCACTTTTCTTTACTTTGATTCCCTATAAAGGGAATCACTCTCAATCCCAAACTCCTTACCCAACTACTTTACCCGCTTTATAACTGCCTTGAAAACACCACCCGACCACATTGAACAACCGCGAGCTGAACCACCCCTAGCTGTCGCCGCTCGAAACACCCAGTCACAACCCATTAACCTCGATGACATCATCACTTACCCAAAATCACTCTAAACCCATAGAAAAACCCCCACCCCCACCTAGAACCGCCCACTCCCATCTGAAACCAGTCGAAAAAAACTCCCTCCTCCTGGAACAACCCAACCCTCTCGGAAATAACCCCATACCCACCACGTACACTACCCATCAACTTAAAAACCACCTCACCCACCATGAAAATCACCCAAAAAACCTTAAACATCTCAATGAACAACCCTAACTACCCCATAAACAATCCCCAAACACTCTAAGAACAACCCTTAACACCCTAAAAACAACTTATAACCAGATTTACAAAGTTTTACTAAATAGGGAAGCTGTGGTGGCAAGAAGGGAGGGAGCGGTGACGACATGCGTGCAAAGGAACAACGGCGGCAGGAGAGGGTAGTGGCAAAAGTGGTGGTGGTAGGGTGAAGGGTGGATTGAAGTGGTGGTTGTTGTAGGAGGGGGTGGTGGTTGTAAAGGTGATTGCTTTTCTTAATGTAAAACAAACAACCATGTATAAGTAAGGGATTAGCTTTCCATTCTCCTTGTTTCCCTTTCTTAAACTCTTTCCTTTTCCTCTTCACTAACCAAACATCCTCTTAGTCTCCCCCCCCCCCCCCCCAATTTTAGCAACAATAAGTAATTGTTGAGTCACTGGTGAACACTGTCTCATGTCGGAAAAAATACCGATGAACTTACTTCATGCCGATGAATAATAGTGCTATGGCTGTAAGCTTCATGGCTCTCTTGAATTATTTCAGACTCTAGAACTAGGAATTTCAATTATTTTCTCCTTTGTTGATCTAACACTTGATTTCCGATTATAAGAGTGTTGGGTGTTGTGTCTTGTGTCGAAACATGTTTGACCTATGACAAGGTGTCAAAGTAACATGGACATTTTGGAGGCTCCATGTTTTTGTGTGCCTATTTTCATGGCTCTGGTTAGACCGCTTGCTTTGCATGTAATGGAATTGCAACATGCAAATCGCTTTGTTATCTTATTATGAACTATTACAATGGTAATTATTATTATGCTTTGTTATATAATAAAATTCACATATGAACATTGATTTCACTCCACTATTAGGAAGATACTTGACTTATCTTAAACACTATGTTTGGATAAAGAGAAATGGTAGGAAGGGAGAGGAAAAAAAAAAAAAGAATGGATGCACCATACTTTGTTTCGATACCTAATGCAAGGAGGGAAGGGGGGGGGGGAATTGGGAGATCCATTTTCTTTCCCCTTTTAATAAACCAAATCTCTCCATTGTTGGACAGATTTGGTAAGAAAATGTAAGGTCACCTTGTTCCTCTCCTCCCTTTCCCTTCCCTCTTTCCTTCCCCTCCTTTTCCCTTCACTATTGTTATCCAAATATAGTGAAAGTGTTAACTGTGTTTTCCAATATATATATGAAATAACAAGGTGAGTAAAGTTATATATCCAGTGCAGCTGAGACAGCTGTTTAAAACTTAGGAAGTAATTTTATGATGTTGGAGTTGAAATTTTCATGCTGCTTAATGCTTCCTATGAGGGTCATTGTTACTGTTATAAACCCTGGAAGATGGTACTCCAAAACTTACAACCATTCCTGAATCGCAATCTTGACTTCTATTAGTCTTATGGTGATGTAAGTGATCAAATGTGCGTTTTTCCCTCCAAAGTCTGCACTCTGGTTGCCTGTCCCTGTCTTTGGCAATTCAGCAACGTTTAGTTATTTTGTAAGGACTAAAGAAAAATGCAGACGTGCTTTATGGTCAAATTTTCATCGCCTCCATATATTTTATTTTCTTTTATTTTTTTCTTGTAAAACTTTGAAGACCAAATTCAATCCTCATACCTGACTCATGAATCATTGTAGTTTAATGGCCATTGGCCATTGCCATTATGTGCACATTGATGACATTATGTTTATTGTGCAGGACTGTTGAAGATGATTTAATTATTGATCCAGTTGATTCTCCAGAGATTGTTGATGATTTTGAACTTGGGCAAGATGAAGCTGTAGACTTAAAGGATAAAGAGGTTAACAAGCAGAAACTGCGAAGACGCATTGACCAATATAAGGTTTGTGGCTCTTGTGTAAAACTTTTTTTCAGTCTCATTGGATTTCCATTAATCCTTTGATGGAACTTTACAAAAATAGAATTGTATCAAGAAAAAAGCTATTTTTGGTAGACTATCAAGTTAAAGAAAATTATTGCAATAGAGGGATACGGAGTTTAGCTACCCACTAAGATTTTAATCAAACAGCTGTAGAATCTTGAAATATAATCACTAAGATACTAAGTCAAGCCCCTTGATTTACTAAGATATACAGAGTGGTTTGACAAACTCACTAAGCAATAAAGGGCGTGTTTTGGGACTCACCGAGAAAATATAAATTCGTCACAAAGACTGTAACTTTCCTGATCAAATATAAAGGGCTTTAGTATTTTTTTATTTAATAACCTGTGAATCATATTAATTAAGCTGGAAGGTTTTTGACAAAACCTTGTGTGAGTAGGTGAGATGCTTCTTCGCCCAATTTAGCGGTTCTAGTTTGGTTTTTGTGTCGCTTGTTTGAACAAATCTAAATTAATCTAAATTAACATCCAAGATTCCTTTTTTGTGAAGTTTGTTTGACCTAGTAAAATCATCATTGTGAGAATGTGAATTTGTATTGTATTCTCATACCTTGGTATTTATATGTCATGTTATAGTTACACGTTTTTGTTACATGTTTTTTATTGTCCCATTATTTCATTAAAATACCCTTCTTAATAGCTGCTCTGTATTCCTGTTCTCCTCTTCACTCAATTTGAGTATGGCGATATTGGGAAGTCCAATTATAAACTATTACTCCCTCCATTCCCTTTTGTTTTTCACGTTTCCATTTAGGGTGTTCCTTTTTATTATTTACATTTAGGATCTTTCCTTTTTAAGTCATTGATTTTGGACTAAATTATCCTACTTTACAATTTAAATACTCAATTGCCCTTCACTTTTCATGTGCAATTGTACTATTTATAATATTTTAATGGGTTTTCAATACTCATTATTACTTTCTCTCTCATCTCTCTTCTACTTTCTTTCTACACATGTACAAAATTCCTTTTTTTTTTTAACTATAATTGTACTTTGAATGATTAATTTATGTCAATTCACCTCAATTTTACACAATTTCTTAACAACCGCGCATAATTCCAAACGTAAAGAACAAAAGGGAACGGAGGGATTACTTTCTTGAATTGGACGTTTCTGGAGAAGTTATAATACTTTAACTATCAGATGTTGGTGGCTTGCCTTCTTAAATTAGTCTCAACTCACATGTGACCAATGACTGCCTGGCTAAATGGGGGTTGATTTTGGTAGTTAGGGGAAGAAGGATGTATTTAATCTAAAAGTGATGCTTATTTGGGAAGGCAAACCACTGATGTTGGAATGTTCAAAGTTAATGAAAAGTTGAATTTTTTTTAGAAGACCAGTGGAAGCCTGAAAGCTCTAATACTCGTTAATTTTCAATTTTTTATTATTCAGATTAGGTTTTTTTTTTTTTTTTTTTTTTTTTTTTTTTTTTTTTTTTTTGTGGCTTGGATGATTAACCTTACATTGTGAGCTGACTGAACTTTCCATTGTCACGTCAAATAAGTAAATAAAATTCACGTTCTGACAACTTGCTTGTTATCTACAGGTTACAGTTATACGTAGTATGTACTTCACATGGGGTTCCTCCCAGATATATGCTTTTGGTCTTGTTTGGTACTAAATATTTCTCTTGCCTCTGATTTTTTCTATTCAAACACCTTCATTACAGATTAAAGTACGGAATCCCTGTCGTAAAGGGAAGAAATTACTTGTTCTTGATATTGACTACACTCTATTTGACCATCGTTCAACAGCAGAGAACCCTCTACAACTTATGCGACCATGTAAGTGGCTGTTTTCTGGTGATTGGTTAACTATCTGTATTATGTAATCTGACATAATTTACTGCAGATCTCCATGACTTCCTCACTGCTGCTTATGCTGAGTATGATATAATGATATGGTCTGCAACGAGGCAAGATTTTCTCTTGCCTACAAAACTTAGCCTACTACATTTATGAAAAATAGTTTAGTATTTAAATTTACATTGGATCATGTTCAAATGGCCAAAACTTTACATTTTGTAAATACATCATCCGTATCTACCTTTAACATACTTCCTCCATTCTAAATTAGTTGACACATTTTAACTTTTAACTCTATTCGCAAACTCAACTTTGATTAGCTTTAATGATTTATAGATAAGTAAAGATAGTCATGTGGGATCTTAATAGAATCCTTTCAATGTGTATTTTTGAATAAATAACTTTTAAATTTATTTTTTTACTGATTAAAGATATTTACACTTGAATTTCTGCATTGGTCATCAATGTGGCAAAAGAAATGTGTCAATTAATTTGGAACAAAGGAATCATATCACTTAGGTCGTCCTTAATAGTTAATACCTAGGAAAATTTTGAAGGAATCAACCAATTACCGCTTTTCTTAGAATAGTTATGACTATGTAGTACAGTATTAATAAAAAGACATTTCACCTGTAACTTTTTATGTGAGAGGTAGTCTGTCCAGATGATTTTATAACTCAGAGGGAAGTGAAAGAAGGGTGCTTGGGCCAGAGGTGGTATGCGAGGGAGGGATGAATGAGGGAAATGATTGTGGTTGCTGCAGTTGAAATGGTTCGGTGTTCCTATTCGATAGGGAAGTGATGGAGAGCTGGTCATCAGGGTTGGCCGGCAAGGGTTGGGGAGGGCTGCATTGGGGGTAATAATTATGCTAGGGTGGGGAGAAGAAAATAAGAAAAGAACTCAACTGTTGAACCGGTTACAGGTCACAGGCTCATATCAAAGAATTTTGGTAAAACCTTCTGCATAGTTTTGATTAATGTGAGAACGTTGCATAGCAGGTATTGTTCTGGGAAAAGACTGGCAATTATTGTGGATTTTCATTTTTTTTTTCTTTATTATTTTGGGATATTTTGCAGTATGAAGTGGGTTGAATTAAAGATGGGCCAGCTTGGAGTGCTCAACAATCCCAACTATAAAATTACTGCTCTTTTGGACCATTTAGCTATGATCACAGTTCAGTCGGAATCACGTGGTGTGTTCGACTGCAAACCTCTGGGTTTGATTTGGGCTCATTTTCCCGAGGTTAGAAGCAATTTTTCTTTCTTTCTAGTTTGTCGTGCTTCTCTGTATATTTTTAACTGTTCAGGGTTCCATTATTTGTTAAACTGATGTTTAATCTGCTAAGAAGCACAACAGATGCAATTTATATTTTTTAAAATGTAAATATGCACATTTGGGTGAGCATGTCTGTGGATAGTTTACATAATTAAATTTCCGAGTAAAAAGCCAAGAGAGTAAAATCTGATTATATGCATAAATTGTTTATTATTTTTATTTTCTATATTTTTACCAGATTAATAAGAATTGTGGATTAATTGTGTTCTGGATAAATTTCTGTACTATGTTATTTTTGTTGAGATACATGTTTATGTTGAAAGTCTAATAGCCTTTTCATGTGACAGTATTATAATTCAACAAACACCATAATGTTCGATGATTTGAGAAGAAATTTCGTGATGAACCCGCAGAATGGACTGACAATCAGACCTTTTAGGAAAGCTCATGCTAACCGAGAGAATGATAAGGAACTTGTAAAGCTTACACAGTATTTGCTTTCCATAGCAGAAGGTGGTGACCTCAGTGCTCTTGATCATCGTAGTTGGGAATCATTCGTTGAGGATAGTTCCAAGAGGCGGCGTCGTGTGTGATGGACTCTTGATGTCATAACATTACTAAGAAGTTCAATTTTTGTTGTCAAGCTAATAATTACATGCTTTTATTTATGATACTAGTTTTGTGCCCGTGTGATGGCTGGATTGTTTATTGAATTTAAAGATATATTTTTAATCTATATGTCAAAATTTAAAAGATATCATTGATACAAAATTAATTGTTTAAGAATTGATGTGTTTTTGTGACAATTTAAACTTGTAGACATGTAATGACTAATAGTAATAATATTGGTGAAAAATATTTCTTGACCTGTAATCTGAAATAACGACCTTGTCTGAAATGACTCGTGACCCGACCTAATTGACAGGTCTACACATAGTAATAAAATTATATTAGATTGTAAAGTATATTGTTCTAATTGATTAGAATATATTATAAACAATGAATATGGTACATTTTGAACTAATTCCTTCGCTCTAAAAAAAATATTAGGATACAAAAAATAAATTTATATGATAATTTATGAGAGTATAATCTAATAATTTTTTGAATAAAATTATAATTCAATCTGTAAATATGAAACATTGGTACTTTATTAAAAATAAAACTCTAAATTAACAATTTTATCTTAAAATTCTATCCAAATTTGATTGAAAATAAATTCTAAATTAACTTTTTTATCCTACAAATTGAATTCTATATAACGTTATCCTATGTGGCACGACACTTGGCGAAAAAGTTGGAACGGTAATTGTCGCTGTCTCATATCATATATTAGTTATATGATATGATAGTGGGTAGGTGTAACACCCCCAAATCTCCCTCTACGGAAATACTAGTATAATACGTATAATTATATCGTAGAGATAGAGTTGGGCGTATTACCGCCGCGTGATTACGCAAAGCTACTCAAAATACTTAACTCAACAACAAAACTTGCAGTGGAAACTCAACTTTCTTTTATTAATACTTGTAAAAATAGTAACATTGTTATGAGTGCTCAAAAATAAAGACAAGACCAACATTCTTAAACTAGGTGAAACAAATCCCTGGACTCCCATATGCTCATTCATGACTCCACCTGAAAATAGTCAACATTGCTTACCATTACGGTAAACGGGGCGAACCAAAACAAATAAGAAATACATATTAGCAAAATATGCTAAGTACGATAAGTGCAAGATAGTGTAAACTCAATTTATTTGCAAACATGCTTTTAAAACCAATTCCAATAATTAATCCAATAAATTCAAAACTCATTATTCCAAAACCGATTCAAATGATTCAATATTAAAAATATTAATTAATAAAACCAATTCCTTTATTAAGAACCAATTCCTTTTAATCCAATTCCTCACCCAAGTGTGCACACCCCCCAAGCTAGTCTCCTTATATTACAAGACTATTCTTGAGGAAAGACCCGGTCATACAAAGTCCAAGACCTTATCAATAAAACAAATCCACATAGTGGGATTACTAACATGCTTATAAAGCATTTATAATAATAATTCAATGATTCAATAACTCCTTTTAATATTCAATAGTTCCCAATATTATTTAAACACGATAAGTAATCCAAACCATTCAAAACATGATTTTAAAATTAATCATTCAAATACTTTTATTAAAATAAATACCTTCAAACATAATTTATTTCAAAATCAATTTAATTCAATCACCAATCAAATCATGTAAAACATGTTATTCAAACCAATTACTTTCAAAGGTATCTAGCTACCTAAACGTACCTTGATCCTTGTTAGAAAAACCACACAAAAGAACCTCAATAACCTTGATTGAACACTCCCTACAAATAAATATAACCTTAATCAATATAAGGTTAACGAATAATCACAAATAATTAAATTAAAACCTCCCAACTATAAGTACATGAACCTTTCAACATAAACATTATTAAAAATCTGATTTTATATAATTAAAACTACTCATAATAATTATATATAAATCCCCCATAATAATAATAATTGAATAAGAGAAGAGAATAAGAAAAGATAAGAAATAAAGGAAAAGAGAAGAATTGGATTTGCCTTGGAAAAAATAGGCAGAAATTGCAGAGGCCATTGTAAACCATAAAAATTCAAACCTGCAATATGTAATTAAAGATGTAGAAAAATATACAGGAATAATTATTTCACTGATAATTTGTGGGTTACAACTCTCTTAGATATCTTGATTTCTTTCTCCAAAGGGTTAGGGTTTTGATATGTGTTTATAGTACGGGGCCCTGTTGGCTTATTCCATACTATGTACCTACAATGTTTGGTAGTAGGGAGGAGATGAGGTCTTTGTGACTTATTCCATCTGAGCCTCCTTAAACCCTAGATTCAACCCTCTTTATACAGAGAGTCGTAGAGTAAAAGATAATAATCTATGAGATTCTGAAGATAAATATCTTATATTTTTTATATTTATCTCCTTATTTACTTATATCTGACACCTAATAATTAACAAAATTTCGGCGTCAACATCCATAACTCCTTCAATAAAACTCCGAATTGGGTGATTCTTGAGTCTAACCTCAAGGATTTTTTGAGAGGAACAATTTTCTGTGACGTCAATACCCCAAAACTGACCAGAAGTGCCCGAAAATTGGCTTCAAAGATGAACGAGATGATTTGTGTAAAAAGAGGAGAAGAAGAGTAGAGAATTGGTGTGAATGAGTGGGAAAAATTAAGGGTCTATTTATAGTGTTGAGGGTGTAGAAAGGATAGAGATTAAGGTGGAATGAGATTAGAATAAGAACATGATAAGTTTAAGTTTGTTAAATGAATTTGATTAACATTTGGTCTAGATTAGTAGGTTGGTTAAAAGATAAGAAAAATTAAATGGATACGCATATGGTTGGGAGAAGGAAAATAGGAACAAAATGAGATAGAGAATTAGAGGTTAAGTTAAATAATTATTAACAAACTAACGTGATAAAATCACTCTTAAAAACATGATAAGCTCACGTTCACAAATTTTTTTTTTTTTTGATTAAAAACGAAAATTATAATAAAATAATTGAATAAATAAATATTTTAGATAATATCAAAATTAGTTAAATACATAATGTATATTAGATATTTCTCTTGAAATAGTTAGTATAATAAAGTATGGACCGACCTTAAAAAAAAGGATAATTAAACCTATATTATTAATTTAGAAATCCAAAAATAATTAATTATTCAAATGATTAAATACTTATATTTGACGCCAAAATTCAAATATTATTTTGGTTCCAAATAATGAATTTACTAAAATACCCTTTTTATTCTTAATTAATTAATTAGATACGTATGAAAATATGGGGTATTACAGTAGGGATGGCAACGGGTTGGATCCATATCCAGATCTGTTTTTGTACCCAGGATCCAGATTCAGTCCGGATCCGTCAGGTCCAAATTTGAGGGATCCATATCCATATCCACTGGATTCTACGGATCCGGGTCCAAAACGGATCTTAAACGGATCTTACACATTTTGCCTATTTTTTAACAAATAAATAAAATTAAGTTTTCTGTAACACCCCAATAATTCTCTCTTTAAACCTGTGAGGACCCTGAACAATATTCAAGAGAATTACTGGCGTGCTACCGCCACGTGTTCAAGCGTTAAGGCTTTATTAGAAAATAGCAGCGGAAAAACTAACTCGGTTATAAATAAGTTTCAAAACCAATAACCAAAACCAAATTAAATGATACAAACAGGAACCATTAAGGCCCTTATTCAAAACCCAACAAAAGTAGTAAATAAATAAAACCAGAGTTTAAATAAGATTCAAACTTATGAAAAGAAATAAACTGCGAATAATAACCAACTCTCCACTCAAAATCCCACAACCCTGATGCGAATTCTGCGTGTGTAAGAACCTGTGGTTAATCTGCTCCCCACTATTACAAGTGTAAAAATTGGATCGTCATAGGGTCATTGAAAGGCGAAGGCCATGACTAAAGAAAGACACACAAAACACGCAATCAGCAAAGCTGAGTACATACAAGCTGCAAAACATAAAAGAAATCCCTAACATGCTACTAATAGTCAATCATCACGCATTATTAGTTTATAGACTCGACACATGACTCAACTATCAAAGTTATTAAGACTTCACTAGTTAATATTAACTAACTCATTTATTTATTTCATTGGATTTAGCAATAGACAAGGTTGTCCAACCCATGTCTCATTTGGAACATCAATGAAAGAAAAACCCCATGCCTCCTTTCGGAAACATCAACAAACATCCAACGACCACGGGCGCGACTCCGTGACCGTAGTTAGTATGAGATCTCACCTAACTCCTAGTTTTAAAAAATATTTGAAATAGGAGACTCGTAGATTAGACGTCCTCGATAAAAGTACACGGCTAATACCCCGTGTACCCCAACCCCTGATTGTCATTATTCCAGAAGTGCACAAATCCAGAGTTTTATTGCTCATCCATCTTGCACTTTACGTGATTTACAGGTTTAGACTTGGTGATGACTCATATGCAAACAATAGAATCAATCCAATATCAATTCAATCAAGTAAAACTACTTTTCAATTCAATTCTTGATTCATTAGTGACAAGCAACATTTATTATTTATTCCTTTAACTACCTCGGTGTATAAACACCTTGAGTGCATAAGGCACTCCAAAACCTTAACCTCGTCTTATAAGACTTGAATTCTTCCTTTACTCATCCTGTTTGCATAATCATGAATGAGTAATAAATTAATCATTACACTAATCATATACCTTTGCCTCTAAGCGCACCTTGCATAATTAGAGCACAAATAATACTTGCAATATAAAATAGTGCACGTCATACGAAATTCACAATGTATAACCAAACAATTTAACTCAGTCATCCCTATACATGATACTAAGTTGTCGATCCGTCCTTAAACATGCACCTAAAAGAAAGGTTTCGTAACTTGTACGTATCTTGAGCAATGAATTGGTATGCCACTTTACTAACTAGAAATCACCTTCAATAAACTGCTCTCCTAAACCAAACAATAACATACATCTCAATGAATACCTAACCAATCAAATTTACAGCAATACTAACTTACTTTAAAACCTTCAAAATCTAAATCAAACAACACTTTAAAACCTTCCCTTTAGTTAAAATTAAAGATTTATATATAGTTCTTTAAATTTTCTTCATAAAAACCTTAAAATACACTCTTATACATGAAATTACAACAAGTTTAAAGTTTAATAAAAATCTTAAAATTATGTAAAAACCCCTAATAATCTTCCTTTTTAATGGGTAATTAAACCCTCTTTATAAAACATCAAGAGTAGTACTTAGAAACTATTTCCAGCACTTAAAACATCAATAAAAACATACATTTATGCTTAATTAACTTTAAACATAATTAATTTTTACGGATTTTTCACCAAATACCACTGAGTTTAAACTTAATTCACCGTATACCACCAAAAACTTTGTAATACACCTTGTACCACTCAAGAAATGTATATTAACACGAAATGCCTTTTTCCTTAACTGCCATTAGTCTGCCGTTTGAGGAAATTTACCAATTCACCATATACCACTACTGTTAAAAATTATTTCACCATATACCATTATTTAAAAGTTATTTCACTACTTACCCATTTTTTTGTAACGGTAATATTTTTAAAAAAAATAACCCTTGCACACTTGTAACGGCTACTTTGTTTATATAAATGTAGTGTTTGAGGGAGATACTAATCAAGTCACAATTCTAAAAGCTAGAGTAAAAATGTAAACAAACTTTCATTGCTAAAAGTAATATGCAAGTTGAATTGGTAGCTGTTTGTCTTCAAAAAATTTAGGGCTACATGATTTTGCAATGGTTGTAGTACATTTTCTTGAAATGTAATAAACACGAATGTTGTTAAACAACAAAGTGCTTAACATTTTGTCCAAAAAAACCTGACACCAGTTTTAAATGTTTTCCCCAAAAAATTATACATAATTTATGGCAGCTTCAAGGATTCTAACTGTCAGCCTTTCTCTTCCTCCCTCTTCCTTTGCGTTGCTGTGAACTGGATGCTGCATTTTCTGCTTGTTTTGCTGCTTCCTTTCTTGCCTTACAGGTTTTTGCATTGTGTCCCAACTCCTTGCAAAGACTGCACTTGTTGTTCTTGTGCCTCTTTCCTTTTCTTGCTTCATGAGATGCTCTCCTTCTCTTCTTAGCTGGTCTGCCTGCAGCTCTTTTGACAGTTGGTGGTGCTATTTCAGACACATCAAATGCTGGCCACTGACTTGGATCTGACATGGGATGGATGTGGTCTCCATAATTCAGCTTGTAAGCAGCTCCCTTGAAGTATGGTGACACATAATCTGTAGCTTGAAGTCTTTAGCTGTATATGACCCTTAGACCATGTCTGCATGGTATTCCTAACCCTTGCCACTTCCCACAACCACAGGTCATTGTCTGAAGTGTGACAGGGAACTTCACATGCCCATCCCTGACCTCAAACTCTCCACCACCAGCTGCTGTCACATGACACAATCTGGACTCCTCACTTCTTGTCTCCAAAACTCTCTTAGCAAATTGTTCTGTCAAACATGTACCTACTCCATTGCTCTTCAGTAGCTATAAGGTAATCCAATGCTGCTGCATCATATTTCTTGATCTTTGACATTGCCTTGTCATACACATATGCATTGTATGCATTGGCTGCAATCCAAAAGAGTTTATGAAACTCTGTCCCACTCCACCCAGCTTTTTTGCAGTTAGAGTACACATGCTGACAGCATACCCTCCTAGTTACTCTTGGGAATACCTCAAAAAGGGCTGATTCAACACCCTTCAACATACAAACACAATGCTAGTTACTGAAAATTAACAAAAGAAAGACAAAGTTTAATTATTTTAAAAAGCAAGAAACTAACCCTCATCCTGTCACTTATAAAAGTCCAGTCATCCCTTTCAGATCCATATTGTGCAAATAAGATCCTTAGGTTTATGAAAAAGTAAGTCCAGCTGTCTATACTCTCTGTATCAACCAGACCATAAGCTATCACAAAAATCTCATTATTGGCATCAATGGACACTGCAGTGAGCATGACTCCTTTGTAATAGCCACTGAGATGGGCACCATCAATCCCTATAATGGGTCTGCAGCCACCCAAAAACCCTTTCACTTGAGCTGCAAAAGAGATGAAACATGCCTTGAACTTTTCACCATTGCCCCCACTGTCAGTCCAAGTAATGAGGGCATATGAGCCAGGATTGGTGGCCTTTATCATCTCAGCATATTTTGGTAACAGAGCATAGGACTGGGCAAAACCACCATGAATTTGTTCCCTGGCCAAACACTTCACTTTGTAAAACAGCTTGGACTTTACTTGGATCCTAAACCTCTCCAGGAACATCCTTTGCAGTGCATCAACAGGGATATCTGGGTTTGCTTCCAGATCTAGCCTCAAATGTCTACAAAGCCATGCTGAAGACACCATAGGATTCTCTTCCAGCCTCCCACAAGTTTTATGTTCCCCTTCCAGTATCTTTATTGCCCAGCTGATTTTATCAACAAGGACTGCTGCATGAATCCTCCAACTGCAATCATTGATCAGACACCTTGCAGTATATCTATGATTGTCAGCATAGTCTACTGTCACAGCAAAGCCTTCTTGTATGCAAAAATCTCTGAAGACATCATGAAATTGTTCCTTGGTTTCAAATATTAACCAAGGTTCAAGTTGAATTGACCCAAATGGTAAGTTAGACCAGACCTTGCCATTTTTGTACATCTTGTCTAAAACATGAGTCCCATCCAGGTAGTCTTCAAAAGTCTTCTCTTGTATATTATCAGCTAGGTCTTCTTCTTCCACAATATACTCATCATCAAGGTTCAATTCCATATCCAAATCATCCTCAGCTTCTGAAAATTCATAGTCATCATCTTCACTATCCTCAGAAGGCCATGGATCAGATTCACCATCATTGTCCTCAACTTGCACAGGTTTTTTGCTCCTTGTATTCACTTCCATCCCTCCTCTTTTATTCTTCACAACCTCAACACCATAATTTTTTGCTGTGCTTCTTGGCACCCTCCACTCTTTTGTTTAACTCTAGATTGCACTTTAGGCTTGGCAACAGAACTAGAAGCAGCACTGGTTGGGGTGGTGGGGTGGTGGTGGTGGGGGTGGTGTAGGCTTCCTGGCTTGGGGGTGGTGATTCATGCATGTGTGGGTTATTTGGGGAAGCATGGTGTGTTGGTGTTGCTGGTGGAGAAGGGTGCTGACTTGGTGGTGGAGATGTAGGCTGACTTGGTTGAGTTGACTGCTTAGGCTGACTTGGTTGAGTTGACTGCTTAGGTTGGGTTTTTTTCTTCCTTGGAGTTACTTTTTTCCTTCTAGGAGATTTTTTGGGTGGTGATGGTGTCTTACTTTTTTCATTTAAGGGTTGAGATGGTTCATTTTGTGAAGGTTGAGGTTGAGAATCTCCTGGAAATAACTCATCAGCTGCTGCAGTGTGGAATACCCTAACATATTCAGTCTTATCTTCTTCTGCATTTACAACAGGGACCACTACAGCAACAGTAAATGGTTCTTGAGCATTAAGCTCCTCCTCAACTTCTTCAGCCTCTGCATTTCTTCTTCTCTCTTCCTCATTCTGCCTAATTTTGTCATCCCTGATCTTCAAAGTTCTTGCCAACTAGCTTCTGCAGACTGGAAGACAACAGATGGGTTTTTTGTCTCTTCTATGAACACTTCTATTTCATCCTTCCCTTCATTCCACTCCCACATTTTCAACATTGCCCCATCATCAACTAACTCTAGCTTACAATTAGTTCTAGGTTTACTCACAAACAAAGTGAAGTACTTAGGGAGGAAAACATTCTGCTTTACTGAATCCTCAAACATATACTCAAACAACTCCCTCAAATTGGTCTTATCAGTGTCATCCACCCTAACATCAAAACTACCACCTGGCGAACGAACTAATAGCCACAATGCACTCATCCTAACAATGAATAATAAGCAACAACAATTAACATCACATCACCAGTTAACATCAAACTTAATCTAATCACCAGTTAACAACTTCCAAACTAATCATTCGAAGTTAATAGCATAACATCCAAACTAACATAATCATTTTCGAATAAACCCTAAACCTAACTCAATTTCGCAAAAAACAACAAAATCAGAGCTCGAAAATCAAATCAATGAGAAGAATATTACCTTTAGAAATCTTAACCCAACCCAGGTGAGAATTTCGAGCGAAATTCAGTCACGAACAACTTCCTCTCTCAAACCGCACCAACCAGGTTCCGTGTTCAATCAAAAAGCCCTAATTATCGTCCTACTAGCAACGTCTACTTTAGATCGAAGAAAGTTTACAGCTTTTGGATTGATTTTTGAGGATCAACTTCAATGGTGAAGAACAGAGAGACGCTTCAATGGAAAGGGAAAATGGGGGGTCATTTTTTTCGAATTACAAGTGTGATGTTTGGGGGAGTCAACCCTATTGATGGCGCCAGTTTGATGTATAAGGGCAAATTGGTAAATTCCCTCAAACGGCAGACTAACGACAGTTAAGGAAAAAGGCATTTCGTGTTAATATACAGTTACTGAGTGGTACAAGGTGTATTACAAGTTTTTGGTGGTATACGGTGAATTAATTTTAAACTCAGTGGTATTTGGAGAAAAATCCGTTAATTTTATTAATCAAACTCAAGGATAATATTTTAAGTATAAAAAAACTTCGTTAAAATCAAAAACTGCCCGAAAATCATATTTAGAGGCTGGATTTGGCCACGAAAGGGTGGTCCCCATTACCAAAGGTAGTGAGTCTGTATTAAAACGTTGTTTCCACATGAAAAACACTACTTTTCATCAAAATCGGATGAGTTCAGAACCTAATCGGGATTAAAACGGGATTAATATTAATGAATGGAAATCTTAAAATTAAAACACGAATTTAAGTGTTCAAAATAATCTGGAATTAAGTTAAACTAATTAGTAGTTATAATCACCAAAATTTCAAAACATCATTACTATAAAAGCCCCCTAAATCAATTGTTCATAAAAACCTTAAAATCATGATTTTCAATAATTAAAAACCCTAGGTTATAAAATTTTACAAAATCTGAAATTATGACCATTTATAAAATCTAAAATTATAAAGTTTAATCATCAAAATACAATTTGATACTAATTAAATTAATTTCAAACAATAAATCAAAACTCATAAATCAATAATTATAATTATACAAATTAATAAAACAAAGGAGAAAATAAGACTAACCTTTTTGTGTGGGAAAATTTTGGGGATTAATGGGGTATTTATAGGAGAGAACGTTGTAGGGTAAATAGAAAGATTGGGCCTCATAAAATTAATGGGTCAAATGAATGAAATGGACTAAGCTTTAGTTGTATTGAAATAAATTATAGAATGAAGGTTCATAAAATAATTTGTAACAAATTAATTTTTGACCCAAATTAATAATTTGAATATTTTAAAATTAAATTACGGAAAAACACAAAACAATATTATAAATAAAATTAAGTTTCATTTATAACATATTTAAAAATACGGGGATTACATTTTCAAGTCACAACTCACTAAGATTAAGATACTACGGAGTATATAGTATAACCATCCATCAATAACAAACCAATTTTTGTAAAAATTACAAAATAAAATTCGATAAAACTAAAACATAAATTAAGGAGTTAAGTATACTAGAAATCACACACATTGTGACTTGCCAGCTTGTGGTCGCTGGAGATGACGACAAGGACTCACCGTCGCCGGAGATATGGGCTGGAGCAATTGTTTTGGTCGGCAGTAGAGAGAGAAAGAGGAGAGAGTGTGTGTTCTTTTAGGGTTGTTGTTTGGGGTTTATTAGAGACAGACTCAATTCACTCAATCTCTTTTGTGAATAGGTTGGGCTTTAAAATTAATATTTTTTTTTTTAAAAAAATGGATAAACGGATCCGGATACGGGTATTTCAGTTAGACCTGTATCCAGATCCATTTTTTAGTACGAGATCCGTATCCGACCCGGATCCATCGGGTCCAAATTTTACAGATCCATATTAGTGAAAACAGATACACAGATCCAGGTCGGATATGGATCCATTGCCAGTAAAGACTAAATACGGTCCCTTAGTTATCGTATTTGTGCCATTTTAGTCCCTCTAAACTATTTTGTGCCCTTTTAGTCCCTCAACCGCCTTCTTTGGTGTTTGTCAGCCAAAAGTTGAGGGACCTTGATGACTAAGCAAGATTTTAGGGACCATGAGTCATTTTTTTTTTCCTTTTTTTTTCTTAAGAATTTATTAAAAAATGAATCTTTTAGTTATTTTTTTAAAACCCAACCTCCTCTTCTCATTCTCTCTCCTCTCCATCTACTTAGTTTCTTTCTCTCTGATCTCCACCTCCCTCCTCCCTTCGATCTCTCTCATCTTCGCCTCCCTCTCCCTCTTTCTCTCTCATCTCCGCCTCCCTCCTCCCTTCTCATTCTCTCTCCTTGGTTTTTGAAGTCCAGCGCCAGCCACCCCCAGGGCTTTTGATCGGATTCGACCACTATCAATTAATGGTTTTTTAGGTCGAAGGTCGAATTTAACCATATAAACCAAACGTTGAAGATTTCATAAGGTACGTTGGGGATTTTTTTTTTTAATTTTTTGGGTAGTGATGGTGATAGTGGTGCGTGTGGTGGGTGTGGTTGTGCATGTGTGATGGTGATGGTGATGGTGGTGATAGTGGTGGTGCGTGGCTTAGGCTGGGTTTGTGGTGGCTGTAGAGTGTAGGCTTAGGCGAGTTTAGGGTTAGGGTGGGGATTTTTTTTAATTATTTGGGTAGTGTTGCTGGTGGTATATTTTGGCGAAAAAATGATTTTTTAATTATGATTTGTGTTGGCTGGTAGAATTGGCGAAAAATGGTATGATTTTGCCCAATTTGTTGAATAGTTTGGGTTGAATTCATGATTTTGTGATAAATTAGGGGTTTTGATTTGTATGATCAATTGATTAGTGGAGTTTGTTGAATTTTTATGGTGCTAGTGGTGCGTGTGGTGGGTGTGGCTGGTAGGTGGGGGAAAGGGAGTAGGTGTGGTCGCCGTCGCCGGTGCCGACTTCCGGCAGGAGTAGGGGGAGGGTGGCTGGGCTTTTTTAAGGGTGGCTGGTTTTTTATTATTAATTTTTAAACAAATAATTAAAAGATGCATTTTTTAATAAATTCTCAAAAAAAAAAATTAAAAGAAAATGAGTCATGGTCCCTCAACTTTGTTGACTAGGCTAGGTTCCTAAACTTCTGGCTGACAAACACCAAAGAAGGTGATTGAGGGACTAAAAGAGCACAAAATAGTTTAGAGGAACTCAAACGGCACAAATACGATAGTTTAGGGACCGTATTTAGTCTTTACTCCCTAATAGTGGGTAGATTCTATTATGGAAGATGTATATATATTAATTTTGATTTTATTTTTCCAGGATTGACCATGCTAAATATATAATGATTTCACGTGATAGTACACTACTAGCTAGGATATAATTACATTTCCGAGTTAAAAGCCCAACAAAGTTATAATACAAATTTTAATTTAAGTCTGTCTTATGTTACAACTAGAGCTGTTAAAAATTGACCCGATCCGGGAACCCGATCTAAACCGATAATGATCAGAACCTGATCTGTACCTGAAAACAATGGGGTGAAACTAGTGACTTGTAACCCGATCTGAACCAACCTGATGTTAATCGATAACTTATTTGATCCGATACTTTATGACCTGAATCCGAACCTGCACCCGACCCGATAGTAACCGTCAACCGATTTAATCCGACCTGACAACAATCCAACCCCGAACTAGTACCCGACCCTATTAGAACCTGAAAACGTTTATAACCCAACACAACCTGTTATTGAAGCGAGTCGTGGACGGTTTAATAAAATTTTATATACCTTTTGTTCTTTATTACTTCGTATATAGATGTAATAAAATCTTGATAATGCTTGAACAAATTATGCTAGTAATTAAATAAATTAACTTGATCACATCGAATTTATTCAAATTGAACTTGAACCAAAACCAAGAATGATCCAACATTAAGATTATCCAACCAAATAATTATCTGACCCAACCTTAACTCGAACCCGAATGTACCATCTATTAACCCGACCAAACCCGACTCAATACAACCCGAACTTGAAATTGAACCCTTTATGAATTTAACTCGAATTGGACCCGACCTACACCCAAAAGGATGAACTATCCGGAATAACCTAAACCAAAATTGACCCGACCGAAACCCGAACCTGATCTGAAGCCAGATTGACCCGACACAACCTGATCCTGATTTGACCCGAGACCCGATTTAACCCGACCTGAATCCGACTTGAATGCCTGAATTGACAGCTCTAGTTACAACTTATAAGTGCACCACTGCTAAACAAATGTATTCTTACTTTTAACATTAACACTAGTTTAAGTCTTGTGTGTTGCACAATTTTTACTTAACCTAATTATGAATTACAACGTTAATTTAACAATAATTTTTATAAAAATAAATATTTTTAATTGAAACAAATACTTGAATTTCTTTTCAAAAAAAAATTTACTTGAATTATATATGATATCATTATACATTTTTTTTTAAAAAAACATAAAATAAAAAATAGAAATTTAATGATTATAGGGTTTTATATATGAATGAAATTTTATGTTGATTATAACCCGTGCAGTGTATTTATGTACCCCATATGTCCCTATTTTGTCGGCATGTTTTGACCGGCACAATGTTTTATAGCATACTTTGACCGGCATAATGTTTTATAAAAATATATAATAAATAACTAAAGTGACAATCATGGTTGGAGCAAAAAAACTTTCAAACTAACAAATACAATGTAGAATAATACGAAGTATCGGAGTTGTACATTGTTCTAATATATTACGTATACGTAGTACATAGTTGTTTATTATACCTATTATAAAATGTATGAAAGATATGTTAATCTATTTCATTGAATGTATATAGATTATACTTGTATATAGTTGTCAAATAGAAAGGTACATGTTATAGAATATATAAATTAATATTTATGAAGATAAAAAATAAAAAAAAAATAAAAAAAAAAAAAGAAAAAAGGAAAAGTTAAAGTGGCGGGAAATTTTTAATAGTGTCATGTTTGATTCGCTTTTAGTATGTTTTTTTTTTTTTTTTTTTTAATTTTTTTTTTTTAATTTTTTTTTTTACAAACTAGTATGATGTTTTTAATTCCTCTCTTTAGTGACAATTTCCTTTTGACATTAATTTCCTCCATACTTCCTCTCCAGTTAAATTTTAAGGAAATAATAAATTTTCAACTAAAACTTAATTTCAAAACAAAGGGAGTATCATCTTTTCTTTGTTTTTCTCTTTCCTTCATTTTCTCTCCACAATTTTTTTACACTAGATTAGGTCTTGTGTTGCATGGTAATTTTACTACAGCTAATTAAAAAAAGGGAATTTAATTTTTAACCCAACAAAAAAGCTTGAAAAACACTTATATATATATATATATATATATATATATATATATATATATATATATATATATATATATATATATATGTACACACACCCGTACGGATATATGTTAAGAGGAACTAGAAATGAATTTACTTTTACATCGCAAAAAAGCTCAGATAATGAATTTACCACTATTAACCAACTCCCGTATGGAATCTGTTAAGAGAAACTAGAAATGGAGGAAAGTTATGCATTTACTAATGCATAACATTGATTAAAATATTATAAAAACACATGGTAGAGAGAGAAAAGATGAGAGAGATAGGAAGAGAGAGGCATTTAGGTGGACCACACCTATTTTTTGATCGGATTGTATCACGTGATGGGGGACCATATGCTGATTGTTCCACTGAAAGTTTATATAGTACCATTGAATCCCTGGTGGTACTATTTACGCATAAATTTAGTACAACTGAATGCATATATAATACCATTATGTGCACATATAGTATCACTATATATTCAATGGTACCATTTGATCATCTAATGATATCAGAATATTTATTCGTTTATACATATGTATAATTACATGAATATCCTTTGTTATGCATTTCTAAATGCCTAACATTCCTCCCTTTAAAATTCCCCATCCGTTAACAGGATCAACAATGTCCACATGTTGCCTTAGTATTGGTCCCCCCCCCCCCCAAAAAAAAAAAAAAAAAAAAAAAAAACAAAAAAAAAACTTTCCCAACCTCTTTAACAGCCCCTTGCCCTCTAAGCCCATTCCCCTCCATTTCCAGTAGCCCCCGCATCCCAAAAAAAAATAAACTAACCTACATAAGTCATTTTATTTCAATTGACTATTGTTAGTAATGAATCTTATTATTATAAATCTGTGTACCACACGAAGCCAAAACTAGTTCTAAATATAATGTTTGCATGGTCCACTCCCCCCCCCCCCCTCTAACCCCCTCCCCTCTATTTTTTCTGACCAAATTTCTTCTTATTTTAAATTGATCTGCTATAAAATTAATCAGATAAATAGGCAATAAGTCAAACAAGGTAAACTGAAATATAGCCTAGGTAAAATCAAGTTGATACATCTTTCCCATTTGTATTTTTTTTTTAGCTAAACTTTCACCGGAAACGAAAAAGAGATTGATTAGATGATCAATATTAGCTATGAAGATGCAATCAAACACCTAAGTTTTCCAGAAGCCGCCATTTTTACAGTTAAACCATAGAGAGCTGAGCAACACAGAAAGGTTGCAATTACATGTTGCATTAATTTGACAGTTAATCCTCGTCCGTCTCCTCATCGTCATCCTCGTTATTTTCCCGATACCTCAATCCATCTTCACCATTATCACGATCTTCTTCTGTTTCTTCACTGTCTTCTTCCTCATACATGTCCCCTTTAATTGGCCAAGGTTTTTTAATCATACTCACGTTAGCAGGAGAAATACCAGAACTTTTACGCTGTGTCATCTTTGACGGCGGTAATTTTATGTTTGGCTTAGGTCTACTCTGTTTCAAATTCTTTCCAGTTGAGCGTTTGTAGGCATAAGCATCTTGGTCACTGGCTTCATCCATCTCATTATCAACATTGTTAGGCTGTGGAGTCTTAGCATTTTCTTCTGCATAGTGGCCAGGATGTTCTCTCCTCAAATGGAGGTTCAACTTATACTCGTGAATGTAGGCCTTATCACATCCTTCATAAGGGCAAGTAAAAGGCCTATCTGAGGATGCGGAATACGCTGCACTAGCAGGCTTGGGAGTTTTTACAGGTTTCTCAAAGGGCGGGGTGTATTTTACGACTTCAGCTGAATTCTGAAATCACCACGACATGAAAAATGTAAATCAACAGGAGTAAAACATAAACAAGTCCAATCCTTCATACGATACAACTTAAATACATAAGGCTTGATTATCAAAAACCATGGGGCAAACAAAAAACTGGATCCAAAGAGAGTAGAAGTTGCAGTCTGCTTAGTTTGTCCAATGTCAGCAACTCAGGTAGGCAAAAACATATTGTATCCCAAAACACCAGATTCATTTCCAAGGTTTGCATAATCATTTTTAACAATTATACAATATCAAATAATATTTTCAATCAAATAGTATGAAAAAGAAGAGACCATCAGATACTTTAGACTACATTGAACTAAACCATCAACTGTTTATTAAGCTCCTTCAGTCCATATTCATACAAAGGAAAATCAAAATTACAATCCCGCGTACTGCCTCACTGGTCACTTAATGAGACATTTATAATCTATCAAAATTGCATATTAAAAAACGTTATTATACTCCCTGAATATTTAGAGTAATGCATTCCATAATTGGCCTTTGTTTTAGGATATCTTCAAAAAAAATTTTATCATCTCTCTCCCCTATCATGGTCCCTACTATTTACGTTATTTTTTTCATAAATATTATGTTCCTATTGGACCTATCCATTTTTATTCACCCACTTTATCCTTGATATAGATTTTATTTCCCTAACAACCCCCCCCCCCTCTCACACAAAATTTTACTCGTTCAACTCTCCCTCCTAAAACTTGATGACGGTCAAACCAATGCACTTAGGAAAATGGAGAAAGTCATCACATTCAACATTGATGGAAGAGAACAAGCATTCTAATAAACCATGGTATTGTGGTACAGAATGACACATAATTATTATTTTAATTGATATTAAAAACCAAAAAAATAATAAACATAATGGTTAATAGCCACATATAAAAACAGCTTCAGAGGTTTAGTACTTTAGAGAGAAACTGAGATCATTCTTGACGTTGACACCCAAGGCAGCTGATTAGTATTGGTATTTGTAAACACCCAACAGCTGTGTCCATGTTGGAACACGGTGTTGGACACCAACACGCGTTGAACACACAACAGTACGTCTCATACACATCAAAAAACCGCGTCTGTTTTTTTATATATTTGGACACTTCGACTTTATATTTGGACACTTCAACACGGATTATGTCTTACTATGATACTGATGCTTGCACCATCACCTAGTGGTTCATGCCATGATTCCGGAGGTTCTTTTGAAACAAGATCTAGCACCCAAATAAACAATCTTTTCAAATTGAGAGTTTTTGTCACCTAGAAGGCTTCTTTTGAGTGTCAACTTCAAAAGCATGGTTCTGCTGAAAGCTTAATAGAGATAATTTTGCTATCTTTTGGTAGCTTTTTCCGACTCAAGTGTCTAATCTAGTTATGTATAACCCAGAAATTAGTATTTGGTAGATTAATCACAGTTCTTTAGATTAACATATTTTTGTGCAAATTACTAGGTATATCAGTAGACATTTCATTTTTGTTTCCTAAATTGAGAAAACAGGAAAAGTATCATATATAGTATATTATACAGAGTTTAGAGATATAAGTTGATGAATGATAATGGCTATTTTGTAGTGTGATTGATTAAAGTTAAATGGCTGAAGTTATATGGTGTTGCTGTTACATGATCCACTGAAAAATAAAGTAATTTTACTAGCTTCTTTATAAGCTAAGACAGCTGGAGCTTTCCAAGCTACTCTATGGGAGCCATACAAGGAATTGGGTAAACTTATAATTCTCTTTTAATGTCTCTTTTCGAGGATACCTTGTCCCCTTGATCATTAACTGCGGAGGATTGTTTGTGCAACATAAATAAAATATTTTGAGTAATAAGGTTTCTTATATTTGACATTTGAAACTTTAAATTTTAGAAAAACTTTCGTTCTTAGCTTATTATACAACTGACTTCCTACCTTCTTATTTATCAAAATCTAAGACCAAATGCAGTATATTGGGGAAATATAATTAAAAAAAAAAATTATTATGGGAACACATTCAGATTTTAAATTGAGTGTAGAGGAAAGATGCCAGATGCAATGGTGAAACTAAAAGATTGTAACAAAGCTTCACTACTCCAAGTTGTTGATTTACTATTGAAAATATAATAAACAACACAAAAATATGCATTTAAGATGTATTGACCCAATATAAAAAGCTTTGAGTTAAAACTATTATGTCAAGAGTTCAAAACCCTTGGGTTCCCGTGATACTTATCTTGGATCGGCAGCAATGAAACTTATCAAGGATTTGGACCATAAAAATAGGAGCAAAATATTCAAAATCAAAAGGCATAGATTGACATAAAAGCTACAGTAAAATAATAATAATAAGGATAAGGATAAAAGATATATGGAATGCACAAAGCACTGACCTTTTCATGGTGAGATGCAATATGATTTTTAAGTTTATATTCATGAGCATATCGCTTTCCACAGTCAGAATACGGACAGATGTGATAATTTTCTTGGGAATGCGTTTTCATATGGGATCTCAAATTGAAATCCAAGGAAAAAGCCTGCACATGTATACCATAGATGAGAAAGAAATTGGGTATAAAAAAGATTCAAGCAAAATAAACAGTATTACAAGAAAAATGCAGAAGCATGCTTTGACTTTAATAACACAATGAAAACATATTTGATGCAGGACATGAAACTCAGGTTGATTCAATTACATACGACCCAGGAGGCCAAACTGTGAACAGTTTATCCACAAGGAAATGAAAGTGTGAAGCATACTATATCACAAATTGCTCAGGTGTTTACTTTATCTAATTATCAACGTCAAATTAATCCGGTTTAAGAATGAATCAACGTTTAAGGGCTCAACGGTTTGATAGCTCAGGGTGGAGATAATCCGCTTATTTTGAAATTCATAATTCGAACTTTCTGTTATTGTAAAAAATTTGTTGGTAGAATAATTTTCAATTTGAATCAACTCATCAAGGCAGCCTGCTAAGCCTAAAGGAAAAAATTTTGCGTTCCTGGTAGTAATAAGAGAAAACATACAAAAAACAGTAGTTAATTAAGACTTTTTTATACAGCTACATTTACAGTGTAGTCTCACTTGAATAAATTTTTTTTTCCTTTTTTTTTTACATTTTGATATTTATAATTAGAGCTGTCAATTCGGGTAAACGGATTGAGTTTGAGTTGGGTAAGTGTGGGTCGGGTCAATTCAGGTCAGGTCAACTCTGGTTAATGTCGTAATCTATGCGGGTCGGGTTCAGATTGGATCATGCTTAAGTCAGGTCACGTCGGGTCATACATCTTATCGGGTTTAAGTTGGGTCAATAACACGTCGGGTTTCATTCGGGTCGGGTTCAATTCGGGTTTTCACGGGTTATAATGAGTTAGGGTCATTCTCGGGTTCGAGTCGGGTTCGGTTCAAGTCAATAATTTGTGGGATATAATCGGGTCAGGTCGTACTCGGGTTTGAGTCGGGTTCGGTTCAAGTAAAAAATTTGCAGGTTATAATTAGGTCGGGTCATTTCTAAGTCGGGTCATTCTTGGATTCAAGACGGGTTCGGTTCAAGTTAATAATTTGTGGGTTAAAATCAGGTCGGGTCATTTTGAAGTCAGATCATATTCAGGTTTGGGTCACCAATATTGGATTAATATATTCTAACAATTAGAAATGAGCACATATCTATAATCAGTCTATGTAAGAAATCGTATGTTTTGAACTATTCACTATTGAAATTATCATAGTAACTCGTTTGCAAAAGCACACAACTAAACAAGTGACAATGTAATTATATAATTATACTTATATAAATATTAATAAGGTGGCCTAAATTGAATTTAAGGTGATTTGAAATCAAATCAAGTCAATAACAGGTTAGGTTGAGTTCAAAAAGGGTCAAGAACAATTCGGGTTGAATTTGGGTCGGGTCAATAACAAGCCGTGTTGATTTTGGGTCATGTTAGTAACAGATCGGGTTGAATTTTGGGTCAGATTAGTAATAGATCGAGTAAATTCAGGCCGGTTTAGTAACAAGTTGGGTTAAATCTGGGTCGGGTAAGTAATAGGTTGGGTTACATTCGGGTTTTGAAGGGATGAAACAGGTTTGGGTCAATGTCGGTTCAGGTCGGATTCGATTCAAGTCAATAATTTACGAGTTATATTTTGGTCGGGTCATCTCCAAGCCGGTTCATGTTCGGGTTCGGGTCTCAAATACTCGAGTTAACTCGGGTCTAGGGTTGGTTTCAAGTCGGGTCATATTGGGTTCGGGACACCATTTTTCCGGGTTCAAACGGGTCGGTTAATAATCGGCCCGAGTCGGTTTTCGAGTCGAGTCATCTTTTCAGCTCTATATATAATACATTAAAAAAAACACATTTTGTGGAGTAAGCATATTTGCCATATCTCATTTTAACTCAGAGAATATTAACATTAACATTACAGACTATGTTACTTAGACTCGAGTACCCACGTCCGACATGAGTATGTGTCTAAGCGTCCGACTTGACTATTTGTGAAAAAAATATATTTTTTTAAACTAAAATGAAGTGTCCAAGTGTCAAACCCATGTGCGAATGTCGAGGGTCCGACATGGGGGTAAAATGAAGAGTCTAAGTAACACAAATTACAGTATACATGTAAAAATTGTTAAAAGAAAGTCATTATGGTGGAACCAGCCTGTCTCTTTGTTCTTGAGAAGTCGAACACTATCTCTTTAACAGCACGAAAAACACCTAAGGAAACCCTCAGAAAAGGGTGGTTAATCCATAACTTAATTTGAAAAGCATATTAGCTCTTAGCATGGAAAGTTGATATTTCACATCAAGAAAGAAAAAAGAAAAAGAAAAAGAAGTTGGTGCTTCGGTACTGCTCTCGATGCTTGTGCTAGTGTATGTCTTGTCTAAACACTATTAAAAGAGCAAAAGGATAAAGAGCAAGAAGAAATCAAAGAAAGACAGATAGCCACAATGAGGGAGAGGAAGATAAATAATCTTGAAAAAATAAAAATAAGTCCATTTCAAATTCACTTGTGGGCGTACTAGAGTTAGTTAAAAGATAGATGGTTCACCTTACCACATCCCTCGTGGGGACATACGAAATCTCTTTCACCGGTATGAATAAGAAAATGTCTCTTTAACTTTGAACTATCCAAAAATTTCTGCAGTATAAAACAGACAGTTGTTTATGATACCATACATAGATGTGATATAAACTATGAGAATAAATCAATGGAAATATTACTAAAGACCAGAACAAAGCACAACTTAGAATATATGACTAAATTTGCAGCACTACTAGATATCAGAATATCAAAACTAGTCACAGAGGTTTAACCAATTAATGGCATGTCTAAGTTGGGATACAATTAACAACCATTAGCAAGTTCCTCTGTTCCATCATACTATAAAATCTATACTTTAACAACTTCTTCTTAATGGCGGTAATTTTATTTTATTTTATTTTTTTATTATTTTTTTTTTTTTACTAATTTGTACGTTTACCTAGTCTAATATATTTCTTAAATTGCGAGCCAAAGTGGTGTTTTGCAAGTAATTAAGAATGCAAGAAGTATTATTTCTCCTTGTTTTAAAACCTGGCAATGCCTAAGATTCTATGTTCATGTCGCTTTATAACATTAGCTGTTCACATATTTCACAAAGATTTTGTAAAGGAGCAAGTACAAAGATGAGAAACAAGGTGTATAAGCAAAACACAAGTCTGATAGTATCTTTAATTTTTTTCCCCATCACTACACAATATCCACAAGAACATGTGAGAGCATGTAAATATTCTATAGAATGAAAGTAACAACAGTATAATTTTGGAGTAAGGAGATCAAAATTAAAGTAGAGATTGTTTATTTAATGATTTTTTTTTCCTCAAATTGGTAATTAAAAAAAAAAAAAAAAAGGCCAAATAATCAAATCAATGCACAAATTATGCTTCATAGCTACACTAGTGTTTATTTATTTACTTTTTAAATTATCTATTCTTTTTATAGAGATATTTTTTTTGGCAACAATAATTTTGACAAGTTAGAACTTGAATCATCTATGGAGCAATAGGAGTTTGAAATTGAGTACCTATTTCTAGTCATACTACAAATTTAGAATTTACCTTAGCAAGATTATCTCATGCTCAGGGTTTAATAAAATAATTAACAAAAAAAAACCCAAATTGAGACACAATGCCATAAAGGACTTCTTGTAAAACAAGGGGCAAAACAAAAGTATAACCTTTCCACACCCCTCGTAGTGACAAACATATTGCCTCTCTCCATGGATATGAGAGTGTTTTCTCAAAGCCCCAGCATCAATAAAAGTCTTTCCACAACCTTCATAGCTACAAAGGAAAAGAACCTCCGTTGTTGGTTCAGGCTCTGGTTCTGGTGCCTCTGGTTCTTTTGCCTTCTCTTTCAAAGCCTTCAAGGCATCCTCTGAAATTAAAAACAAAAAAATAAATGGGTATAAGATTTAAGAAGTTGGACGAATATTTGATACAGCTACAATAAATAATAATTTTATAAATGCCATCATACATAAGGATGAAGACAAGCATGAAGAGTTTAAAAGCAAGACAGAAAAAATGGACCGAATCAAACCGAACCAAAGAGAATCATTACCTCCTCCAAGCCGAGAAATTTAAATTAACGGTCCCTAGTTCAGTCTTGTCCAAAACCTTTTAATAACCGGTCTTGGACCAATTTTTGTTTAAATTACGCATAAAAACCTCTAGATACTTTACATCTTCAAATATGTCAAGAATATTTACATATTATGAGTTATTATGTACTATGTATTAGACTTTCAAAAAAAGCATTAAATAATTAGTTTTCTTTTTCTTATTTTCCATATATTACTACAGAAATATTGTAAAATATAGAAAAAAATTTAGAAATCAGACTGGTTAGGCTATTGGACCGAATTTATCACTCCGGTCTACAAGTCTCAACTTTTAAATTATCAGTTGTCGGTTTGGCCCGGTATTTGACCGATGAACAACCCTACTAGTAATCAAGTGAAGAAATATAATGTTCCAGTAAATCTGACAGTAAATACATATGTAGCAAATGAGAACAGGCGAATCCTTATAGTACTTTAATCAACACAGTATTCTTGAAAGCAAGATTAACATCACCTACAATCTGCTAACTTCAGATTGAAAGCACAAAGAAAGGAATGAATGATATTTCAATCCAAGGGGTCCCAACTATCCTAATGTGATTAATTTTCTGGAGTTGAACACACCATGGTCAACATCTTTAGTTCAATTGCATAAATTATAAGTATCTGTGTTGTTACCGCCAAACACCAACCCCTGCCTTACTTAAAAGGTGAAAGAAGGAAAAAGTCACCAACAAGAAACAGACATTTGGAGAGACAAAATAGGACTTCTTTACCTTAGTAATGTTTCTCACTATATATTTTTGTATTTTAAACCATCCATCTCATTTATTCTAGTACTATTATAATTGTAAGACTACCTAAACCTTTCAGACTCGTACGTACAAGTGACTTCATTTCGAACTCAAAAAAATTTAAAACGAGGCAATGGGAAGAGGCAAAGAGCTGCATATGCGTAAAAGTTGCGGCAAAGTGAGCAAGTTAACCTGTAATCCATTTTAGAAGATAGCATTTCCCTCCAGTAGCCACAACATCTTGAGGAACCCTACAAAAAGCCACTGGCTTATCAAAAACAATGAATAAATTAGGTAAATAAAGGAAATTTGCAAAAAAAAAAAATCCAAAAGATCCGACAATATGAATAATGCATGCCAGTGTTCTCATGTTCTGAATTGTGTTAGGTTAAAAAGCAAGCAAGGCAAACCACCAGTGATATGTGAGCAACTGAGCATACCAAAATTGATATCTTAAGCTCCGGAGCATATTGATGAGGACTATAAGAAGGCTGACTGTGGGGCACAAAACCCAATAAGGCCAAGCAAGAAGGCAAGATCTCCCGGCACGAGTGTTCAAGTAAAAGGTACCATTGGCCAAATAAACCACCTTTTCACATTAACACCCTAGCCCTTGACAAGATGCTTTTGACTCATATCTATTCTGGATGAACTTGTGGCCAAAAAACATATTTTCACTTGGGTTTTGCCTCTGATAATACTTCAAGTTATGGAAGCGCCAATAGATTTAAGAGAAATGAAGCTTGAGGCTTGGAAAATGTTTTATCTCAAGGTCTTTTGTTACTCATTATTGTTTGATTGATTAATTTTATTCACCCTTTGGGATTATGAGCTTTTAAATTGTATTGACTACATAAATTCTTGCTTTGTTCTTATTTCCTTTCCTTGTGTCGTAATCAGAATCAAAGCTCACCTTGACTTTACCCCTTTATGTTTGCAAATTAGAGGAATAAATCATATTCCTCTTATTTATACACAAAATTTCAAAACCATCATTACCATAATCTTTATGTTAAAGCAATATTAACAGCAACCCCTGGAGGAATCCTTCAAGACCAACCTCACACATTTCACACAACACACAAGTAGCTACACTTTCACACAAATTTTCAATACTATACCACATTGAACTCCCTCATTTCTCAACATAATAACTGTCTTCCAACATTTACATTTGAAAAACTATAGCTTACAGAATGTTATTACACAGTCAATTTGTTATACTTCAGCTACATATCTTAAAATCAGGTAACTACATAAATCACTATTTCTCTGGTTATTTCTACATCTCCCCAAAAAGTAGCACAAAGTAATACTATATTTTGTTCTCAACTGATACTTCACAAGTACCAAAGTCTATCTAACCATCTAATACCACCGTTATTTCTGTGATAAAGCACATCGAGTAGATGATAATCTAGTCGATAAAGAATGCAGATAGAGCATTAAGCATCTATCATGGTTTGATTAATCTTCTCTATGCACAATTGCACACCATTTATTCATTATGTTTATATCAAGCATAACATGTTATTCAATGTCATATATTCCTCGAACCTCATACTCGCACGGCATCTTGTACCATAATTACTTCAAGTTTGACGCCCTTAGATAATTTTCGACTTCCACTATAGACACCCAAACATAACGGTTATCAAATATAACAATAACTAGCAACTGGTTGTTGGTGCAGTGGTGATTGAGACTGCACTTGGTAGGGAGAACCCGTGTTTGATCCCCCACAGCAACAATTGGAAGGGGACCAGAACCTACCTAACCACCCAGAACTGATCCTCGAATCCGGATTAACCCAGAGGGTGAACCGGGTGGAACACCAAAAAAATATCACAATAACTAATGATCATAATAATGATTAACCAAGTGTAATTCAATCAATGAAAGATAAATTGCGCAAATTCCAAACTCATTTCTCCCAGAAAATAGCATCAAATACCAAAATCAGCAGTATCAAATCAATGGACACCCATCAACAGACTATTTTAAATCACAATCACAAGTATTAAAAATCACGATTATTCGATTAATCATTAACACATCATAACAATCAACTGAACCCATATCAAGAAAAAGAAAAAAAGATTTTTTTTACAAATTATTATAGATAAAAATTGTAAATAGCAGAAATTAAAAGGGTGAGAAATACCATTCTTTAACCCATTTCAAAGCTGGTGTTTTGGATTTTACAATTGGTCGTCTGTCGAACAAACTATACGACATCTGAGTCTCCATCAATTAATCTGTATCACTCCGAATTTGAATTTGATGATCTTCAGAAAATTGGGAATTGCAATTGAAGAATTGATGAGTAAAACTAGGTTTAGGGTTTGAATGAGAGAGAAAATCAAGAGCAATGGCGGTTTTGCGCCATACCAAAAACCATAACAATTTTACTCGTATCCCATAACTTGTTGTTTTGAGCATTTTTTTTTAAAAAAAAACGACCACAGTGGGAGTCGAACCCACGACCTTCTGATCCTAAGTCAGACGCGCTAATTCACTGCGCTATGCGGTCTATTAGCATATTACTTTATATTATTCAATTTCAAGAATTTAAAGTTTGGTTTTTTCAATTCAAGGAATATAAGAAATAATGATCCCAACTTTAATGAAAATTTTAGGCTACAGGCGGTAGTACCATGCTTGGTACATACCACAAACGCGGAAAAGAAGCTATAGTAAAATAGTCGCCAACAAGTTTTAGGAATTTATAAACCGTTCACAGGGTGAAGGTTACCCTTCACGATCCATGAGATCGCTAATTCCATACTAGTCTGGAACCATTACTGGATATTCGGGGATGAAGGTACAAATCCAACCTTAAAGAGATTGAATCTCCCTTAAAAATAGGCCTCTATTTTATTTTTTTAATTTTCATGTGTGTTTTCTGACTAACATACAATCAATAGGTTAATCCTAAACCTTTTAAATCTATGTTGGTTGAATATTAATGCACAAACAAAATCTATTATCGGCGATCACTTGAATTATAATCATATTAGCCTAAATAAGATTATTAATTATCTCATTAAGCGTGATTACAAGTACAAATTCCTTTTAAACATGCATAAAAGGCGTGATCAAGCAATAACATAATAATATATCGAGCAACAATATAACAATCATCATCATAAAAAAAATAAAAAATAAACATAATAATATTAGCAAGATCCTAGGCATGATGCTTACATGATTAATAACACAAATCCTAGCATGTCACTAAATAATAAAGATCACAGATTTAGCCCTGACATGATACTAACATGATATTGGAAAGAAGAGGAAGCAACCTAAACATGATACTAAAAAAACAATAATAACATCCTAACATGATACTAGAAATTAATATAATCAAAGCATGATTTATATATCAAAAGAATAACAATTAAATTACTTACTTGGATGTAACACCCTAGAAATTCCTTTCTTTAAATACCCATTCTACTCTTTTTAAAAATGCGATTTAGGAATAACTAAGACATTACCGCCACCGTGAAAACGGCTAAGGCAATTATCAAAGATACACAGCGGAAGACTAAAAATTTAAAACCGATTAAACAAGTCAACCCAAAGTCAACCAAACGAAAATAAAGTTTAAAACCAAACGAACAAGTCAAATAAATTCAAATTACAACTTGGAACCATCAAAGGCCCTTATTCAAAAATCGTTCCCAAATCAAACCTTTATGTTAGTCCACACATAATATATCATAAATAAATAAAGCATAAAACACATTGTAATCTAATGAAAACTAATAGGATTCACTCTTCACTCATGCCCCATCATGATCATGCTTCAATACTTGAAAAGTTTATCTCTACTTGCTTCCACTACTCTCCATTAAAAATGGGTCATCATAGGGCCAAGGTAAAGACATGGCCAAAACACAAACACACACAATCAGCAAAGCTGAGTACATAAGCGTAAAATAGCCACACTAAACATGCTTTCACCTATCAACACACACTTACCTCATTGCACATATTCACAAATACCAATCAACACAATACAATGATTAGACCCTAATTAATTCATTTTGCATTGATTACGCATCGAACGGGTTTCCACCTATTAACCTCCCCCAAATAAATTTGAGGTTAACTGGCACGGGAGCTAACCGTGCCAGCGACAAACCACACAAAGGTGGCGGAATTCCTGCGCATAATAAATAATAAAAAGGAATATAAAGTGTTTTGTACTCCATTGGAAGTTATAGTTAAATATAAAACCCCATAACCCCCCCCCATTGTTCATACTCAAGGTATATACGTTCCAAGAGTTTTGGTACGTAATCTCTTTCACTTTATGTTATTTACATATTATTAGACTTGGTGATGACTCTCAAAGCATAATAAATCAATCAACAATAATTATTCAATCAAACAAACATACCAATTTAATTCTTGAATAATTAGTGACCACATACTATTTAATGTTGAACCCTTTTTAATTCTACCTCAGAGTCGAAGACACCTTAAACGCATAATGTGCCAAAAATCCTATCACTCGGTGTTAAAAACACCTTAAGTGCACAAAGGCACCAACATACAATTTATTCCTTGTGTACCTAGACACTTATATAGCTCATTCCTCATGCTTAAAGCATCAATAAAAATTATTTGAACCATAATAAAACTCCTTTTCAATAATCCAAACATAATTAAACATGTAGTTTAATTAATCATGCCTTCTAACATGCCATAAATAAAATGTGGTTCAAACACAACATACCAAAAATACAATTTTCCAATCCATAAATCATCACAAATAATTCATGCTTCACCATTCAATCACAAACACCATAAACTCACAATTCCATACATAAACCTTAGCATGATTCTACTTATAATCAATTACAAACAAACCTAGCATGATTCTACATCACCAAATTATGCTAAGTACGCGTACGTACCTTGAGTACGTTATTAAAACTGCCACAACTAGTAGAAATCGCTTACTTCAAATTCTCCTACACATTAAATCCATAATAGAGTATTAATATCCACTCTAAACAAATTTCCAGCAATATATACTATTTTAAAACCCTTCATAAATTAATTAGAATAAGCTGAAATTATATTTAAAACACCATAAATTAAGTCCCAATTAATGGGTAATTAAAATTTCTTCAAGAAACCCAATATCAAGTGTTCTACATAAAATTCCAGCACTTTATTATACTTAAAACTTGCTGTAATTTGGTTTTAAAACACTTAAAACAAAGGCCTACCCTATTATACATCATAATCTTTCAATAAATCATGAAACAAGAACCCAGGGTTTAAAAAATTGGGGCTTTTTAATTAAACCAAATCTGAAAATTAATTCCCACAATTACAATAACTAAACATCAAAATTAAACCTCCAAACTCATAATTTATAATTAGATCTAAGCATAGATTAAATTAAAATAAGAAAGCTAAGGTTTTTTTTTTATACTCGAAAAAGGGGTAAAAAGAGGGGGGAGAAAAATGGCAGCCACCGGCTGCCGGCTGCTGGCAGCTGCGGTGGCCACGTGCTGCCGGCGGCGTGCGCTGCTGGCAGTGGCGGCCACCAGCTGCCGGCGGCTGGCAGTGGTGGGGGAAAAGGGGCAGCCGAAAAAAAAAAATAAGGGGAATGGGAAAAGAAAAAGAAAGAAAAATAAGGAGGAGAGAGAGAGAAGTTTACCTTGGGTTTTCTGCACTCTAGGCAAAGTTGATTTGCCCCATAAGAGGGATATTTATACCCCTTCTCTATCTCCCCTTTTTACCCTAACTGTCCTCCTTTAGTTTTTCCTAATCCCTTCCCTACTAAAACTTGTTAAAAAATCATAATTTTCTAAAATAAAACCCCAACTTCTATTAATTAATTAATTAAACGGCTTTTCCTTTTGTAAAATATTCCAAATTTACATGGGATAAATAATTAAAACATCATAATTAAAATGCTAGAGTTATTTAAATACCCTTATAAAATATATATATTAAATAAAATACGTATAAAGTGTATATACATTAAATAAAATACGTATAAAAATACGAGGTATTACATTGGATGTCTCGTATCTCTTTCTAATAACAAAATACACACATTAGTAATTAACTTTAATGAAAATAATAAATCAAACAATTAAATTAAATAATTGAAATAGAGATTTGGGACCAAACCCTCAGAAAATATCAACCTTTCACGTCTAGGGCGAATACAACTTCGAACTTGGATAGGTGTGTCTAGAACTCGTGAATGCGGAATTTTGTAAGAGGGAAGGTTTAGAAAGAGAAATAGAGAGAGAATAGAAATTAAATGATGATTGTGAATGGTTAAAAAGGGGGAAATACGACCCCTATTTATAGAGAAAATAGTATGGAAACGATAGAAAAGAGTTAGAATTCGAATCAGAATGAAAGTAGCTATTGTCGCAGAGCTGTCGCGCGCGACAGAGTCTGTCGCGAAACGACAGGGATCACGCATGGTGACAGGCTCTGTCATTTGGCGACAAGGCTGTCGTTTAGCGCTGGGACAGTTCTTTGCGGATTTTGTTTTTATCATATCTTTTGATATTAGAAAGCTCTTGAAGTCTACTTTCCAACCCAATTAATCAGATTAAAATATTTTGTAGATAAAAAGATATGGCCGAAATAGTGGAAGGGTGTCATTTTTTGATAGAGTTTTGTATTTCTTTCATATATTTTTTCATAATAGCTTGGAATTAATTTTATAATATATCATTGGAAAGATAATTTCAAGAGCTATGCAACCATAAAATATTTGGATAAAAATTATGAGGTACGAAAATAATATCTGACCATCTTCCATTTCGCACAGAACAAGGACTCTCAAAAAGAGAATTTTTATTCAATTTCGAATTCTTTGATATTATATTTTCAAAAAAGGATAATTAAGATCTCTTAGAAACTTATAGAATCTTCTAATAAATCCTACTTAGTTTAGGAATGGGATTAAATCTTTGGACCCTCCACATGATCATTGGGCCGTAGGTAAAATTCGGTTTGAGCCCAATTTAGTATTTTGGCCATAACTTCCTCATTATTCATCGGAATTGGGCTTATAATATATCGTTGGAAAGGTATTTTCAAACCCCATCCAACTACACCATTATTGGACCCACATCATGAAACAAACTAAACTGGACTGGACGTTTTTCATAAATAGAGTAAGAAAAGAAATATTTTCAAAAACAGAAAGAAGTATTTTTATTAAAACAACCACATCACAAGACTTTTCACATTTCACCTCTTTCGATAATCAAATGACGTGAAAGATATTCATCACTGAGTTTAGTTTTTGGAGAGACACAATTAGGCGTCTACAATATTATGTAATAAACATTATTAATATATACCCACCATAATTTAAAGATGAAATTCAAAGAGCATTTCGCAATAAGCAACAAACATA